CCACCAAAACCAAACAAAAATCCCTGATTTTCCTCTAATTCCTTCACTCTATCATTTTGCTGGGTAATACATAAAAACATTAATTCTGTGTAGGAAAAGTCTCCACTTGCAACGTGCTCCTGAGAGAAAAAGGAAAATGCAAAATACCTAGAGAGTATTGTACTAAAAGACAGCTCTGGCAGAAACCATGGCAACTCGGGTGGTGGAGGAGAGCTGCATCCTTCTGCTTGTTAATCCCTTCAGGGTGCCTGGATTTGGGCTTTCAGGGACAGATTGTGGATGCAGAAAAGGAGGGAAGAGGTGAGGAGATGCCCTCAACCACTGAGCCACCAGTACTTCTCCGTGGTTAATTTTTTGGTGATATATCCCTGATTATTAGATTTTTTTCTACAAAATTCCACGAGCAGGAGCTGCCTGATAAAGTCTTGGTGCACTGGAGAAAATATTTACTGCAGAGAATTGATTCCTCAGGTAGGATTTCCAAGCCTGGGTCTCACAGCTGCATCAGTCCAGTGGTGCCAATGCCGAAGGAGGCACCAACACCCTGATTCTGAGAGATGCCCAAAAGCCTGCTGGGTATCTCCACACCTGAGCACTCAGCTCTTCTGGAAACCCAGACACAGAATTCTGGGGTTCCAGAATAACACCTCATCTGTAGGATCCATGGGAACAGCTTGGTACCTCCATGCAGTGAAAATGTCCTGTGGGTAGCAGGATACTCCTGAAGTTCTCCACCTGGAGACTCTCCTCCACTGTCGTATTGGTGGCTCCCGTCCTCGCTGCTCTTGCTCTTCTTATGGAAGGTAAAATATGAGCTGCTGTGCCCATCAGATGGTAAATCCAGAATAAGTGCAAGGAGCCAGAAGCAGAGCAGACCCTTTACCATGTAAAAGAACAGCAAACAGGAGCAAACCTCCTCTGAAGGCACCACCTCTGCAGCTTCCCATCTCCTCCAAGTTCCAGCCTGGCACAGGCCACCTCCCCAGAGCAGTGTGTCCATACCCAGGTGGTCCTGGAGTCCAGGGACTGTCCTCCAGGCAGCAGAGGGGAACAGGTAATGGGGTCCAGCTCATCCCAGTCACAGTAAAACAGGCTGGATGAATCGCTTCGAGGATTAAAGGAGACCTGAGCACCCACCTGAGGAACAGACGTGGGGATGGCAAGCACCTAAAATTAGGTGAGGCCTGGCTTCACCATGCCAGGGGTGAAGCACTCGAGGGGAAGATCTAAAATGCTTCATTCTGCTGTGATCCCATGGATGCTGGGACATGCCCAAGCAGCACGAAGAGCCTGTTTCCTCAGCCATCACCACCAGCACACATCGCACTGGGTGCTCCATGGCCACCCTGAGATGCAAAAGCCCAAATTGAGATGCTCACATACAGGCAATGGCACTGAGAGTATCTTCCTGGAGCATCTTTTTCCTTCCTTAGCATTCCTGTGCAAGGAAAGAAAACCTGTGAATCTACCTCAAACCCCTGTGTGTTGAGCAGGCTGGAGAGATTCATCTCCTCCAGCTTTATTTGTCAAAACTGGAGACATCTCCTGGGGAGTCCATCACCCCGAGATCCCTCATAAATCAGCTGGAGATGCTTCCCAGGCATTCCTGCTCTGACCTACTGTAGCCTGTTAGCTCAGGATGAAATGAATCACTCTAATTTCTCTCCTCTGACTATAAAGCACGTCTAGACAAGTAACTCAGATGTTGATACTTAAATCTGGATAAAGTAATTTCACTTTTGGGGTCCATATCTGACTACAGCTCTCCTACTGCCTTGCCAGGGCAGATCACTTCACTTCTGCCTCCCTCACAGTCCCTTCAGCAGCAGCACAGGGATAAAACATTTTATTAGTATTGTAAAAACATGGGAAACAATCGCATGGAAGTTTCTGATTAAATCTGCACAACAGCACAACACTAGAACAGAATTTAGGTTAAGAAACACAAGTGTAAAATGGAACGTTGCAATCAGGACCATTTTCTTGGTGCACCAGTCACAAAGGATCGGGTCTTTCCCTAAAATGTTTTATGTTATTTGTCAAGGAAGCTGTTTGGTTCACGGTGCTGCCCTGACAGGTTGGGGAGTCGTTACTGCAATGTTGGTTAAATGCTCAGACAAAGCCTCCTTGGTGTCCTGTGTTAAACAACAAAGGGGGTTGAGGGGGGTTGGCAGAGAGAACTCCCCTTCAGAGCCAATTAGCCTTTGCTTTGGACAGCAAGGGCACGGTGGGGGTTCAAAGAAGAGGGTCAACCAAAAACCCAGAGGATGGAGATCTGCTGTTTATCTTAAAAGTGTGGAAAAATGGGATAATTCTTGGACATCGTGCTCCTCCTCCCCCCTCCCCCCCTTTTCCCTGCTTCTGACAACACGAGAACTCGCTCTCACTAATGAAACAAGGAAGATTATCCCAGCTGCAGTTCCAGGGACACCAGGCCCATTATCCCAATTTCCTTCGTAACGGCCTCACACCTGGACACTCTGCCAGGGTCAGTCAATTAAAAGCAGCTTCACAAACCCACATTTCACTTCACAGCTCTTCTCGTGGGGAAAAACATCAGCTCAGCAACCTGACTCTTCATGTGTTGACATGGCAAGGGCAAACAGCTCCACGCTGTACGACCAACCCCGGCAGTGCTCCGGACAGTTGTCACGTCTTCTCAATTCCCAAGAAATCAAGCTGGCTGTGAACAAACCAGACACAGGCCAATTTTCACAGGCTACTGCTGTGAGCTCTGTCAGTGTCCAGCTCCGCTTCTCTCCGGAGAAATAAAAAGGAAAAATCATCACTTATCTTGATTGTCGCTCAGGGTTTCCGTGCTCTGAGCTCGGCGTCTCGGGATCAGCTGGACAGGAGGATTTTGAGGAGCGCTGTAGCTGAATCTCAGGGGTCCCTCTCTATTAATCACTGAATTGTATCCTGTTTCATTAGCCACCATCAGAGCACAATGCAATTAGCACACATTATACATCACAGATATTTATTAATCCTTCATTACACACGGGCTCGTGCTCACGGCAGTGGGAGCCTGTTGATGCGCTGCTACTTCTTTTTGCCAGCGGGAAGGAGGCAAGTTGGGTCAGCTCTGCAGGGATTCCCTGCTTGCACAGTGGTCCCATAAGCTTTACAGTCACCATTAATTTCTCACAATAATGGCATATATAGGATGAAAAATAATGCCTGAAACTCCCCGGAATGGTCTTGAGGGCGGCGTGACGTGTTTGTGACGCTCAGGAAAGGCAGCACCAAACTGGAACACTGAGCAGAAATTCATCTGGTGACTTGTCGAGTGAAAACAGGCAGATTTATGCCTTTGTGCTAAAACCACACGTGGTTGCATACTTGGTTTCAGAGCAAAACCACCTCTGCTGAGCAGAGAACTATCTGGTGACTTGTTGAGTGGATACGGGTGGATTTGTGCCTTCCCAATAAAATCACACGTGGTTGGACGCTTGGTTTCAGTGCAAAACCACCTAAAATGCTGCACATTTGAGTTCCTTTCTGAGTCTGGTGTTCTGAGAGTGCCCTTTCCCACTGCTGTGAGGGTGAAGAGAATTCCTGGACCCAGAGAACCACAATCCCCACGTTACCTGGCCGCACCCACAGGTACCACCCACAGCACCCAACACCCGTGGGGAGCCTCAGCCACCAGGGAAGCATCCTGCACCTTGATTCTATGTTCATGGTAATGATGGAAAGCACTGATTTTTCCCAGTTTCTCTCCTTAGGGACCATTCTGGTAGGTGCTGTGTGATCAGTGGTAGTTGTCAGGCTGTCCCCTCACCCAGTTGATAACAAGCTCTTACAGCCTGGCCAGACAACACCAGTAGCACCAGGAGGGAGTGACTGGGAGGCAGAAAGCTCTCAGCTCCACAGGTGTAAGCACTGCACAGACACTGCAAACAGGGTGGAACAGCATCACGTGGTGACAAAGCACTTAATGACTCCGAGGAAGGGTATTAAACAACTCACTGACTGATCTAAAGGCACCTGCTGCTGTGAGATGCTTTACAAAGGGCTCACTCGACAGGAATATTGTCAGAACCTACTAAAAACACGAAGATGCCCATTGGGAGGAGCTATTTAGCGTTTTTCTGCTGCAGCCTGTTTACCTCAAAATTTGAAGAGGTAAATTACTCTGACACCACTAACAGCCACAGCTGTTTTGATCAGCCAGCTGCTACCCAGTTCCAGCAAATACCATCAGACTGTCTTCAGAGGGACCATCAGGTCTGGGAGAGACACTAACACAGCCTTGAATCCCAGTGTTTCCCTGATTTTTATAACCATATTTTAGAAATGGGTGGACAAAACAGAGTAAAGCTTGTGGGGATAAAGTTACAGTCAGAGTCTGTTTCCACTCTTCAGCAGAAACAAAGATAACGTTGTTAATAATGATCATTGGGTTTAGAGAATATAAATCCAACTGTGATTAAATTCTGTTCCCTGAGAGCTAAGCCAGGAATTCAGCTGCTGTCAGGACAGAGATTACAGATGCATTTACACGCCAAAATTGCTACAGCCAAGTTCTGCTCCTTATTTTGTTTTCAAATAGACATTCAGTAGGACCACGAGGAACACAACTTGAAGGCAACTGCAAAAGACATATCCACATACTCATCTTTCATCTCCTTATCCTCCACTTCATGTGGTTTGGATACCTTTGGAGAAAGGGAGGATGATTCCCATTCTCCAGACTGAGCTGGCAGGAGTAGCCTGGCCCCGGTGATACCTGAGGGAGTTCACCAGGGGCCTTTTGAGGAACAGCTTATCTCATTCTGAAGATGACTGCTGGGTTTGCCAGGTTGGCTGTGTGCCCAGGGGGGCTTATTTCTTTCCACTGAACAACACAAAGATCTCGCTCGGGTGATCTTTACAGATCTCGAGAACTGCAAAGTCAGGTAAACGAACCACGTGCAACCTCGGGAAATGAAATGATTCAGGTGACAGTGTGAGATGAACACCTGTGTCAGCTCTGATTTCTCAGAGCGTTTGCTTACCTAGGATCACAAAGAAACTTGGTCTTTTCACCTTCTTCTCTCCAAATAAGCCATTCTCGGAAAGAGGGATGAACAAACATTCGCGTCATATCTCTACGTTTGATAAGAAACATAGAAAGGTTCTCCATCCTCTGCTGAAAGTCCTCCCACTCCAAAGTGCCCTCAATGTTACCTGCATTAATGGCCTGAAAAATATGTTCGTCTGTTAATGGGTGCAGAGAAGCCACTGCCACATTCAAGAGGGGCATGACCCGGTCAAAGGAAGACTGTGTTGGGAACTTCATATTGCACTGCAGCAGGTACACCTCGGACAGGGACACGGGCACCACCTTGTAGCTGGAGCTTTTTAGCACCAGGTATCCTTTCTCTATGAGATCAAAAGTGAGTTTCAGGTACAGGTAGGACCCCTGGCTCAAGGTCTTGAGGTGAGAGCTGAGTTTGCCGAACGTGGTGTTGTCCATTTTGCCGTTGAGCGAGATGTTGTTCTGGATCTCCGAGCTGCTGTGGATCCGGTGCAGGATGTAAGCCTGCAGGTCCTGGTCGATGGCTTCGTTCTCTTCCAGTCTATCCAAAAATATTCTGTGGAAGGGTAACAGCTTAATTATTTCCTACAAAGAAAGAGAAGAAAAAAAGACACTCATGCTGCGTTTCTTATTCATTAAGCACATTTAATTTCTATTACAATGGCACCTCTGAGACTCCTTTAAGACCTTCCATCAGGGCAAGCACACGACTGGCAGTTTGTGCCCTCAGGACCTCAGACTCATCTATAATCAAGTAGGTTGTGTGTGAAACATGACTGAAATTAAAATGAAGGATATTTCCTAACACCACATCCATGGAAAGGGCTGGCAAATCCACACAGTGCAGTGCCCCTGTTATTCCCAACCATGGATCAAGTCAGAGGGAATGGACAGCCAGATGACAGATCTGAGGCCACAATAAAATTTGCTGAAGCTGAAGAACATCCCTGGGAGCATCCTCCTGCATCCCACATCCATGGGTGCATGGAAACACCAGGACAGATAATAATTAGCATTTCCCAGTGCAAAGTGACCATGTCTGTCTGCTGGGGGATGCTGTGCCCAGGGAATGGTCACTGGCTGAACTCACTGATGATGCTTCCTCAAATAAACCAAAGATCATCAAAGGCCTTTCCAAAGCCCCTCATGGGCTCTCAGTCACTGTGAGGAGAAAAGAAATGATGCAACAGACCTGGAGAAGCCAAGGCAGACTCCAGAGAAGCCATCAGCTCTCCAAGAAAATAAAGAGGGAGAGCACAGGGCGAAGAAAAGCAGCAGTGAAAAACACAGGGCTGCAAAAAGCCTAATTAAATGAGGAATTCAAGCCAGCAGGATGCAATTTGCTTACAATTACAAGAAAAGATTTCTTTCAAATGATATTTAATCTACTGCGTTACTGAGCAAAAAAACAGACTCCAGCACCACACAGCAGATATCCTGTGCTCTCCTGGATCTTGGGGAGCAGATAGTCCAGCAGAGAGATCTGTGCTCTCCTGGATCTTGGGGAGCATATCTGCACAGATATCCTGTGCTCTCCTGGGTCTGGGGAAGCAGCTGCCATTCCCAGTGACAAGGACAGTGTGCAGGGTCTGGCTGCCCTGCTGGGGCTGGAACCAGACTCAGCTCCCTGCCAGGAAGGCCACAGTGAATCAATCTGCAGATCTCAGTAAATATTAGCAAATCTCAGTGAAACTGCTTAATGGAGCTCATTAAAAATGAACTCCACAGCTCTGTGCTAATGAAGAAATGGCTAATAATGAAAAAATGAGAACCAGAGAGCTGCAGACAGGCCTTTCTGCCCGGAGCAGCCAGGCCAGCTGCAGAGCTGGCTCCCAAATGTGTGTTCCATCCTGCTGACTCTGCCTCCTCTGGGCTCCAGGCTCGGATGCTCGGTGGGAATGTTCCCATCAGTGATGGTGCAAATCAAGCAGCTCTGTTGAGAAACCTCAAAAGAGCAGATCTGCCCCAGCTGGGTCACTGTGTTTGCTTCCCAGCTCCCTCTGTTCAGATGAGCAGTTGAGCCAACAAACTAAGTTCAGCTTGATCCTTCTGCCAAAAGAGTCACGATGAACAGGCTGAAGGTAAAAACCTGCCCAGCTGCAAACTAAAACAAAACCACTGAAGAATAACCCAAACAACACTCAGCTTAGAGCTTCAGCACCTGCTCACCACAGTCCTTCTGAGCTGAATAATGTCTTGGCCTGCACTGACTCCTCCAGACTGAAATGATCACACTCAGGGTATGAAATCTGAATTCCTCTGCTCTTCCACATGGAACAGAGGATGTTCTCGAGCTGCACAAGCTGACAGACATCAGGCCCTGCCCTCCTAATGGTTCAGTGAGTTAGAGCCTGTTGGCATGTGAGCTGTGTCACAAAATGATCTCAACCATTTGCTGATGAACATTTATTGACGTGAAAAAGCAATGCTGGATTAGATCCATCCAAAGCTGCAGAATGAGTCTGGGGACATGGATATAAATTCAAAAATTAAAAAGCCAAAAGGATAAAGTGAAATCAAGGGTCTTGAGCAAATCCAGACATCCATCTTTAACTAAGCCCATCATGACAATGACACAATTTCTCACTATTTTGGGTCTCATCGTACCTGTAGACTTGTCCTGACTGTCACTATCAGCTTCAGCCAGGAAGGAAATTTTCCAATCATTTTGCTCAGGAATGATACTATGGTGTCTCCATAATCTGGCTTGTGAAATTCAGCCTCGTTTAAACCATCAATTAGTATAATGAAATCTTCATCTGGGATCTTCCTCTCTGAAAGAAAGAAAAAAGGCATTTATTGGAAAGGCCACAGACACATGACCATAATGTACTGCTAAGTCACCACAGCGTTTTAAAGCATCACCAGATATTGCTGAAGAAGAAAAAAAATCACAACAGCAGTACATTTTTCACAATGCATTAATTGCATATTGGAAGGGACCTTTCCAGGTCATCTTGTTCCACCCCCTGCCGTGGGCAGGGACACCTAACACCACACCAGGTCCAATATGGCCTTGAAAATCCTACAAAAAGCAAATTGTGGACGTTTTAAACAGGATTTTTTGGCTGCTGGAGGATACAGTAACCCGGGTGGTGCAAAGAGTGCAGTCAGTGTTTCCAAGTCAGACACTGAGAGCTGGGCCTGGCCTTACAACTGATGATACAGATACTTCTGGACTTGTATCTTAAGCTCAGGTGGCATCTTCTCCAAGGTAACCTTGCCTAATAAACTTGAAACCAGGTGGCAATGGATAAATCCTGCTGTCACAGAGCTCAGTATTCCCAACAGCAGGTGAGTTTTTCTCTTTGGCTTTCAATTGCATCAGAAAATTTGCTGTGAAAGCCCAGCACAGAGTGTTCATCGATGACGGAGCCCGTGGCCCCTGGGGTGTTCCAGGAGAACAGACGTGCGCAAACACCTCGCCTTCGGTGCTGCTGTCCCTGCCTTACGTCAACAAGCTGCACTTATTTCCTAATATACTGTAAATATCCCTATGAAGAACACATATTTTGCATTAAAACGACCCTAGATGCTTTCTCAGTTAACTTCTCAGCAAGATTTTTGGGTACACTAGAAAATTCGCTTTATGCCTCTCTGAAATCTCGGAGTGAATGCAGTGCCTGAGTTTTATACCCACATCTCATGTTCCTCATAAAGCCTGAGGGAGAGAAGAGAAAGCAGGGAGTGGGGGAAGAATCAGAACTTTGTTCTCCTATGTATTATTTAGCTTCCTTGTCATTAAAAATATATATTTACATATATATTTGAGAAACATGAATCTTTCTCAGTGACGCTCACCATTAACAGCTGCACAATAATTTCGTCCCAGTAGCATTAAAGCTTCAACAGCACCTTGTAAAAGACCTGCTGATATATTTACAGAGTCTTAAATGTTATATATCTTTAAACCAATTTCCAGACACCATTCATCTTGCTGGAGAACACTTGGTGCAAATGAACTTGCCAGCACTCTGGACCAGCAAGGTTGACAGATGAGAGTCCTGCTCCACTGGAGCTGTGTTGAGTGCAGAGCCCAAGAGGAAAGAAAATAAGGTTTTATATGAAATTTTTCAGAATTTAGGACCAGATGGGGGTCAACCTGTCTGGCAAAAAAAAAAAAAAAAAAGCATCCTCTGCAAAGCTCTGAATTCAAGGGCTGGAATTCAAGTACCTCCCAAGGAGCTACTGTAACAACCAGGAATTATTTTCCTTTAGAGCAGCGGTTCCTTAAATGTATCTCTTTTTTCTTTGTTCTTTTTTGCCAGGAGTGTTGGTAGGAAAGAGCAGCCACGCTTCTCCCACAGTGACATTTCTCCAGTGCCAAGAAAACCAAGTGCTGTCGTGCTGTGCGGGCTCTACGTGTGCTTTGTGCCTGCTGCAACCAGGTGGGTTAGACCCAGCTGCTGCTGCTCGGAGCTTGGACACAGTTTTGAGGAGCTGATTTGAACATCAGGGCTTTGAATCTGGTAGAAGCTGCATCTAATTCCATGTTGGATCCTCCACTGCGGAGCGGAGGGTGGTAACAAAATTATTATGAAGTATTTTTGCGGCCAAGATGCAGCACAGCCACGGTGATAAACATCATTCTGCAGGACAACAGAGTCCTGAACTCTGCAATGCTCTGACAGTTTTCATGGCAACCAGCAAAGATCTTACATTTAGCAATTGTCACAATGAATTACTTATAACTTGCAGAGGGAAGAAAGAAAAGAAGACAAAATCAATGCTGCATTAGAAAAAGCTCTGTAATCAGTATAAGGCTTGTCACCAGTTCCCCTAGAAGCTTTACAGAGGGTGTCTATCGACTTTTATGGTATCAGTCCTTTGGTGAAAGCTTCAAATTCTCTGAAGAGTGGCAGGGAAAGGGAAAAAAGTCACCCCTACACAACTAAATCAGAACATGTTGCCGTAACCACCACCGTGCATGGAAATTGTTGCTTGTTTTCACCTTCAGAACCGTGAGGGTAGGTTTGGGACATGGAAGGAGGCAAGAAAAGGGAAAGGCAAGTGTTTCTTCAACAGGCTTGCATGTGAGGAGAAGAGGGCTGGTTAACCTCTGGCTTCTCATCAAGCACAATCACAGAATCACACAGAATGAATGGGTCAGGTTGGAAGGGACCACTGGGCTCTGGGTTAGGGTTTAGTTCTGGGCTCTGGGGTGACCTTGTAGCAGCCTTTCAGTACCTAAGAGAGCCGGACAGGGACTTTAGACAAGGGCCTGGAGGGACAGGACAAAGGGGAAATATGGCTTCCCACTGTCCCAGGGCAGGGTTAGATGGGATATTAAGAAGAAATATTTCCCTGTGATGGTGGAGAGGCCCTGGCACAGGTTGCCCAGAGAAGTTGTGGCTGCCCCATCCCTGCGAGTGCCCAAGGCCAGGCTGGACGGGGCTTGGAGCAACCTGGGATAGGGGAAGGTGTCCCTGCCCGTGGCACGGGGGTGCAACGAGGTGGTCTTTAATGTTGCTTCCAACCAAAATTCTACAGTTCTTCAGATCCCACCTCCTCCCTGCAGCTCTCAGAGCGTCGCAGCGGGATCAATCCACCCCTTCATTTCAACACCCTGACGCGACCCCACGGCGCTTCAGAACGACACGAAAACAAAAGGCCTGTGGGAGCTTGGGGCGATCAACACCCCCATCACCACCACCACCACCACCATACCTTTGTGCAGGTTCTCCAGGGGCTCCAGGACGCCCCTGCGGAAGGAGGCCATGGGGTCCTGGACGCAGGAGCGCAGGCTGAGCAGGCTCTGCAGGTGGGGCTCGCGCAGCAGCTGCTCCCGGTAGGCCACGAACTGCGGGGAGCGGCACAGCAGGGCGGCCACGTTGTGCACGAACTCGGGCACCAGGCAGGTGTAGGCGTTGTCGGCCTGGCAGTAGTGATAGGCCACGACCTGCAGCGAGAAAAGAACAAACAAATTGTGTCTTGGTAGGAAAGAACAAACAAACGGTGTCTTGGCCAGAGCTGTGGCAGCGGTGGCAGCGCTTCCCCCTCGGGGAGGCTGATCCGCCCTGGCAGGTGGAGTCTTTAGGAGCAGGGAGTGTTAACGACCCGTGACAAGGATCCAGACGAATCAGTCGGGGAAAAACAGGCGCTGATCCTGAGAAATGACTGGGCCTGCCACTTGAGGAGTAAATGAAATTAAGCTGTGGCTGCTCGTGGAGATGGACGGTGACAGCAGTTGACAGCTCCGAAGTGCCGCGCGGAGCTTGGATTGTGCTCCAAGCTCTGTTTAAGGACTCGGTGCCACTAATAACTTGTGATTGTTTCCCTGAACTTATTTTTTATTTGCTGTTTTTCACGTGCCAAGCTCTCTGAGAGCACTCACTGAGTCCATCACAGCGAGGCAGCGTCTGGGAAGGACAGATTCCCGTGATCCAGGGGTTGGGGGGGGAATGTCAGGCTCACTGTACATTACTCATCCACTGCGATCCTGCTCTTCATTCAAAAAAAATCAATTCAATTAAAAAAAAAAAAAAGGAAAATTTCCTCTTTTTCTAGCTTTTCCCTGACTTTTCCAGCTCATCAAACTCTGCTAGAACCCCCTACATTCTGCCCACTTATTAAAATAAGCAGAAAACCAGTGATATTGTCTCAGGCCAAGCTGCCAACTTTCCTGTTTTCTTCTGCAATGTAAAAAAGGCCCTCAGAAATCCCTCTCTGCTTGTAAATCCCTTGGGAAGCTGCTCTGGCACCTCTCCACCTCCTCCTGCTCGCTGGCTGGCTCCAGCCTCGAGCACATCCCATTTGGGATGAGGCTCTGCCAGGGCACAAAGCTTTTCTCCAGCCCCCATTCACTTGGGTTTCCTTTCAAATGTCACTGACTATCCAAAAATATCCTGGTGAGGCAGGTGGGAGCAGTTCTGTCCTGAAAGCACCACTGCCCTGGAGCACCGCAGCACAGAATATTGCCAAATAAATCGCATTTTTGAACTTGGCAAGGACGAGATGACTGAGGACACGGCACACAGGAGATGCTGTGGCCTCTCTGGAACTTGTGGGAGCTCAGATGAAACATGCCCGAGGCTTTGGACATGATGGAGGCTTTCTGGCTCTCCACCTGCAATATCCAGCCCTTGGACCACAGCAGGCTCCAGGGTGGTCAAGGATGGTATCAAGGAATGAAAACATCAGGCTGTGGGGTCCCCACACACTGCTGGCTCAGCACTGGCTTTTAATTTTCAACCTGAAATTACCACCAGTAATTTCCTTTCCCAGTCAAAACGAGGTGTGACACGTGAAGAGATGAGAAAGCTGGGGTGTTATTTCAAGTATCAAATCCTAATACATGTGTTTAAGCTTTAATGGATACCTCCAAATTCCTTACAGAATTCTTCCTACCAGCCAGTTAAAATATAATTAATTCCCCTAGAGAATAGCACTGGGTAAAGTAATAATAAAGGCAGTGATTTCTTTTCAACAATCCTATTTATCTGGGGATTGCAACTTGTGCATTTCACAGAATAAAGTTCTTTTAACAGCCATTCCTTGATATCAGGTTCCAGTAACAGAAACCAAATTACTCTGATTTCCTACACAATAGGTGTATAGACACAAAAATAAAGTCTCTTTCAATGAGAGGCCAATTAACTTCTTCTAGGAATCTGAAGAGTTATGTCATGGAAAAAGGGACACACGTGATACTTATCAAGGGTCACCACCAGATTTTGAGACACACATACAGTGACAACCCAATCAATTTAATGCTTTTCATGTAAATCATGGTTGAAATTGACTGCCTTAGAGGTCTTTTCCAATCTCAACAATTCCATGATTTGTGATCCTTGTGCTGGATTTACTGGTGTACTGACTGAACCTTAACCAGCAGGATAAATGCAATGCTTAATGGGTGGATCTGAGGCTAAACCAGTTAAACAAGAAAGATTTTGGGAAAGCAACCAAAGGAGAGGCACTATGATGTTCTCAGAAACACAACTTGCGCCAGAACTTCATCTTGATGTTATTTATTCCCCGTGACATTTTCTTTATCTTCAAATCACAGAGAGGCTGCCAAAAGCTGGTGCTGCATGTGGAGCCTGGCACTGGGAACTGGGCTGGGAATTGGGCTCCTCACTTACACAGAGTTGGGTGGGAAACTCTTTTCTCACCCTGTAAAACTTTCCAAGGTTTCAAACCCTGTTCTACCCTTGGGAATGAGACTGGGTTGATGTCAGAACTGAATGGAAAAGCCTCTAGGATGGAGGCTGGTGTTGATGGGTCTCACCCCGAACTGGTTCAAACCCTGTTCCTTCTCCCCTGTATTTGGTGAATTCCTTTAATGCTCCCACTAATGCTCCGGGGAAGGTCCCTTTCCTATTATTTCACCTTATTAATTATTAACTGTATTAATTGCTCTGGGTTCCAGGAAGAGGGATGGATGCATTACCAGCTCCACTGCTTAGGATTCTCTTCTAAGATAGGGGAGACCATGTCCTGACCTCACTTAGCATCTGAAACAACCACTCTCTGTGCTAATCATGATTCTGAGGTGGTTTTGGTCTCTCCTCCTTTTGCTTAACTGGGTAAGCCAAAAAGTACATCTAAAGAACAAAAAAAAAAGAACTGGTATAGCCTGGAAATGAACTTTTCATTGGAAAAGGTGTGCTCTCTTCAATAAAAGCTTCACTTTCAACAGATCTAATAACTTTGCCTTAAATAACTGCTTGAACAAGTTCCAGCCATCCCTTATCATAAACAAAATCCTTGAATTAAACATGTAATTTTATCTAGAAACTGTATTACAGTAAATGAAACCACCAAGGAACAGCATGTGGTTCCAAAGGTAGGGATGTTGCCATCAGCAAACATTTATTTGTGTCTGATACAATTTGAGACATAATTTTTCTACCCGTAGTTTCAATTTGAACTTTGTCATCCCATTGCACTAAACACTGTAAACACTAAATTAAGACTTTCAAAACTTTTAAACCTTCATTTCAGCTACCAGGTTTGTCAAATGATGTTTACAAAGTCGGAAGCTGAAAAATTCCTTGCTTTAAAGTCTGATTAAATTTAAATCACTGGATGGTGAACGTTAAGTAGGCAAGGCCTATAAGCAACCCTAAAGCAAGAAGTGGATTACAAAGGATGGGAAACTAACACCTAGATCAAGAGGAGTGTTCAAAGTACCTGTTCATGTAATTTTTAAGGGCTGAGAACACAGTTTTGACAAGCTGAATGACTGGATGCTGAGAAACCAAGGTGTTATGGTTCCTATATTAAATATCAAATGCCCAAAGTTACAAACTTGTATCAGTTCCTTTCTTGCTTGAAAAGGATCTGCAAAATGATTCACACTTGTATGATGAGTATTTTACTTCCAGTGATCACCTCCTCCCCTAAACTGACGTGGAGAGTCCAGCTGGCTGCACACCAAAGCAGCACATTTATCATGGGTTTTTTTGGTAGCTCATTTTTTTTAAACATTAATTATGTGTTACAGGGCTTGAGAAACACCAGATGGGGATGGCAGAGCACTGCCTCAAACAGACTATGGCCAACACGACCCCATCCCCCCCTGAAGTGGGGTCAGGGAGCCCCAAAACATTCATTTACTCGGATTACACAAATTTCATCTTAAGTGCCAAAGTAGAATTATTAAGACGTTATTTATATTCCTTCCAGGTGTTAAACCCAGTAGGTTCTTCAGGATTGTCTTCTCCCAACCCTTTCAACACCAGCCATCCTACTCTCCCCTTTCTGCCACAACCACTTCCCATTTCATCCAGCCTCGTGTAACCTTCACCTTCCTGCTGTCACCACCCTTCCTGCCCTCATTCCATTCAGGTTCCCTCCTTCACCCACCCCTTTCTTGGATTCAGGACTTGGCCACAGTGTCCCATCCTGACACACAGATGTCCCACACCTTCCTGCAGCTCTTCTCCCCACACCAAAATCCTTTTCTGACCCATGGTCATGCAAACCACGCTCCAGAGCTCCAAGGCAAGCTCCTGATTCCACTTGGCTTGGGCTCAGCTGGACAGATAGGGAAGGATTCCATGAACTCAGGGGAAAAAGGGAAATATCCTCACATGAGTCAGGAATTAGGAAAACAGTTGCTGGAAGAAGGATGTTAAAAGCAAAACAGCTGCTCCAAGGATAATGAAAATGCTGGTGGAAGAGAAGAGCTGCATGAACACAGCAGGAGGAAGAGGTTGGAGAGGGCAAAGGAGAGGGGAAAACAAGGCACAAAAGAGAATGTGTACAAGCTGTAAAAGTACAGAGGGTGAGAAGGGAGTGAACTGTGAAGAAGGAAAAGACAAAAGAGAGAAGGAGAGGAAATGACATGGCAGGAGAGGCAGGAGATGACAGTAACAGGGGAAAGGCTGAAGGACAGAGGGAACATCAAAGGGGCTGGAGACAGCTCAAGGGAAATAAGTTATTTTTAATTATTAGGACAGGCCAATTTTAAGCAGTTCTCCAGCACTATTTGTGAAAAAGAATCTCCTCCATTTAGGCAGCATTCCTTTGCCATCACACCTCTGCCATGGTTTGTCTTGGCTTCCTTCTGCAAGGTTCTACCAACCCCCCTTGGCACAACCTCAGACCCCTGAGCTCCTCCAACAGCCTCCTCCCTCCAGGGCTCTTAAAGGGCTTCCACACTGTATTTTAACCATATTTCTGCACCTAACAAGATTTATCTTCTCTTGACCCACACAAAATAGCTTCCAATAACTGCAGTGAATGCTCTGACCTGCCACAATGCCACGTGCCAGCCCCAACCCTGGCTGTGATAATGGAAACAGCCACCAGCACTGCTGTATTTTATCCACTGCACATGACTGTGACCCAGTATGTGGCACGTGGTGACCCAGTTTATTGGGAATGCTCATTACTTTTACATAGCTGAGTGTGCTGGGAAATGCCCTGGGAAACTCATCAGTGCTGCAGGGC